CCTCCGTCTAGTGTGCAGACTACAGCTTTAATGACGGGGGCGGACCCCAGGGCGCTTAGGGGCTCCATCCAGCTTCCTCTCGCTGCTCTGGAGCTGAGAGAGAGCAGGGAGAGACCATGGTGGAGGGGACCGGCTCCCACCTCAGGACCTTTGCACATGCTGTTCCAGTGCTGTCCTCAGCCGTCTGCCCCGCCCGCCCCTGCTTCCTCCTGACTCACATCCCCACCCGGCTGCCTTCTGTCCCCCGTTCCCAGCCTCCCTGCAATTTCCTAAGATATCCTATAATCTACTCATTCATCCTATTTATGTCTGCCCTCCCCCCTCCCCCCGCAGCCCGGCCTCCCTGCATGCATTTGGCGGCCCGTGGACTCTCCGTGGAACTAGTGACATGGGTACTGGAGAGCTGGGTCGGGGTGGTGTGAGGAGGAGAGATTGTGGGGTTTCTGAAGACCGGGGGGGGGGCATTCTCTGCCCCTCCCCAGCCAGTGTGTCACTTCCTGTCCCCCGAAGGAGTCAGCTGAGGACAGAGATGCTCTTGAGTGGTGCATACCGCCGGCACTTAGTAGACACCACACGTGTGTGTAAGGTCTGTGGTGCCGATGGGGTGGGGTGGTGGGGTGAAGTCCCCAGGCCCGGCTGCTGTGTGACCATGGGATGTCTCCTGGTCTCTCTGAGCCCAGCATCCCCCCGCAGGCTCCCCCACCCCCACCCGGTAGCTCCTCAGAGCCGCCTCCGTGGGGAGGCTGCGTGGGAGAGCTGCGGGAGGGTCACAGCCTTCCAGGCAGTGGGGCGGCAAGCACCTGGTTGCCAAGGTTACGACCACCTGTGGATGGGACGTTGCCATGGAGATGGACCACCTGGGTGGCAAGGGTGGCTCCTGCCTGGTGTAAGTGGCTGGGGGTGTAAGTGACTGCCTGGGGCTCAGTGTGGCCTGGGGACGGCACGGGGGTCCCCACGATGAACTTTGGTGGGGCCCTGATACGCAGGAACGAGTTTTGAAATGAACACCCGGTGTCTCTCCCCTCCCGGGCTATGATTGGCACAGTCCGGTGGCACCTTCCAAGCAGGTGAGGGCAGTTGTACCCCCCACCTCCCGACCAGGGCTGAGTTGTCAGTTACTAAGATGTGAAGCGCTGGTTCCGGGTGCCGTGGCCTCGCCCAGGGTTGGCAGGCTCAGGGCCGCGCACCCTGAGGTCAGCGCGCACCCTGAGGTCAGCGCGCACCCTGAGGTCAGCGCGCACCCTGAGGTCAGCGCGCACCCTGAGGAGGTCAGCGAGCACCCTGAGGCCAGCACGCACCCTGAGGAGGCCAGCGCGCACCCTGAGGAGGTCAGCGCGCACCCTGAGGCCAGCGCGCACCCTGAGGTCAGCGCGCACCCTGAGGAGGTCAGCGCGCACCCTGAGGTCAGCGCGCACCCTGAGGAGGTCAGCGCGCACCCTGAGGCCAGCGCGCACCCTGAGGAGGTCAGCGCGCACCCTGAGGAGGCCAGCGCGCACCCCGAGGTCAGCGCGCACCCCGAGGCCAGCGCGCACCCCGAGGCCAGCGCCCACCCTGAGGTCAGCGCGCACCCTGAGGTCAGCGCGCACCCTCTCTAAGCTCTAACGACTCCGTCTGTGCCTTGGGAGCCACGTTAATGGCCCCGCGGCTCTGAGCACGTATGTGCTGTTCACACGGCCACCTGGGGTCATCAACACACGTTTGGACAGTTCCAGGAGGTGGGGACACTGCCTGGAGGGAGTTCGGGATCAGAGAGAGGCGCCGATGCCCTTTGCCGGGGAATGTGGGAGAGGCCTTCATTGGCCTCAGTAAGTGGACTCTGCTCCCGGAGGGAAGTGACTAGAAATCACATAAAGACGCCTCTTGTTCCAGGCAGGCCAGGACGACACAGGGACCCTGTCTCTAAGCACATGGCCGAGCCCCAGGTGGAGCTCCGGGAGTCCAATCGGCGAGAGGGAGGAGGGACTGTACGAGCGAGAGATGTTGAGACCATGGTTGGAGGAAGCACAGAAACAAATAGCCAAACTAGTGGAAATGCATGAACGGAGAACCAGTGGTGTAGGAACCCCCATGGAACTGGACCAGGCCCTCTGGATAAGTGAGACAGTTGATTAGCTTGATCTGTTTGGGAGGGCCCCAGGCAGTAGAGCCAGGACCTGTCCTTGGTGCATGGGTTGACTTTTTGGAGCCTGGGGCCTATGCTGAGGCACTTTGCTCAGCCTTGGTGTAAGGGGAGGAGGGGACTGGACCTGCCTTGGCTGAGTCTGCCAGGCTGGGCTGACTCACCAGGGGAGACCTTGCCTTGGAGGAGGTGGGAGTGTGGAGTCAATTGGGAGGGGAGGACTGAGAGGTGGGAGGAGGGAAGATGGGGGAATCCATGGCTGATATGTGAAATTAAGTTAATTATAAAACAAAAACATTTTAAAAAGAAAGGAAGGAAGAAGGCAGGTGACCACGGCTCTAGAGGGGCAGGAAAGCTCAGTACGTGGAGCCCTGGCTGCTCCCGCAGAGGACCCGGGTTCCACTCCAGCACCCACAGGGTGGCTCACACCGTCCGTGACTGCAGTGCCAGGGACCGGTGCCGCCTCCGGACCTGCAGACCCTCCACACGGGTGCACAGGCCGACATGGAGACAGCACAGCCTCGTGTGCGAGGAAGGAAAGCGGGACGTGCACTCTAGGGCCAGCGGAGAGCGCGGTGGGGAAGGTGCTCGCTGTGAAGAGTGGGGGACTGAGTTCAGACCCCAGGACGCAAAAGCTGGGACATGCGCGCGCACACACACACATACACACACACACACACACACACACACACACACACACACGCACACTCACACACACGCACGCACACACACACACACACGCACGCACACATACACACAAACTCACACTCACACTCACACACACATACACACGCGCACACTCACACACACACGCACACACACGCACGCACACACGCAACTCACACACACACACACACGCACACGCGCACACGCGCACACACACACACTCACACTCACACACACACACTCATTTTTTTTCAGACAGGGATTCTCTGTGTAGCCCAGGCTGGCCTCGAACTCAGAGATCCTCCTGCCTCTGCCTCCCGAGTGCTGGGATTAAAGGCTGGCGCCACCACCGCCCGGCATCAGCTTTTAAAAATTATACTTCATACATTTATTTTGTGCGTGGGTCACGCACCCCTGGCACATGCGAAGGTCAAAGGTCAACTTGTGAGCGTCCCAGGGCAGAACTTGGGCCACCAGGCTGAGTGGCCAGTGCCTTGACCGTCACGTCACGGGCTGGGACAGACTCACCACCACCCAAACCAGCCTGCGGCTGGCCATCCTCCTGCCTCAGCGCCCTCCAGCGCTGGGACTCCAGGACGGGCCATGAGGCCTGGCTCTCACGTCACCGTGTCACGCAGGCGGCCGCAGACTTGATGGAGACGCCCGGATCTGAAGCGCCGGGACCTGGCTCGGGTCAGTGGCTGGCGGCGGGGAGGAGGCTCGCTGCCCGGGTCGGGGGTCGGGGGTCGGGGGTCGGGGGTCGGGGGTCGGCAGCCTCGGGCGTCCGTCTGCACCGCGTCCTCCCCCGTGGGACGCGCTGCTCAGAAACCGTTGCAAAACATTCCTTCTGCCTCTGGTGTCGGGAGGAGCTGGGGGGCTCCACCCTGACCACGCCCCCAGCCCTCACTGGGGGATTCTGGGCGGGGCTCCACCCTGACCACGCCCCCAGCCCCTCACTGGGGATCCTAGGCGGGGCTCCACCCTGACCACGCCCCCAGCCCCTCACTGGGGATCCTGGGCGGGGCTCCCCCATGACCACGCCCCCAGCCCTCACTGGGGATTCTAGGCGGGGCTCCACCCTGACCACGCCCCCAGCCCTCACTGGGGGATTCTAGGCGGGGCTCCACCCTGACCACGCCCCCCGCCCCTCACCGGGGATTCTGGGCGGGGCTCCACCCTGACCACGCCCCCAGCCCCTCACTGGGGATCCTGGGCGGGGCTCCACCCTGACCACGCCCCCAGCCCCTCACTGGGGACTCTGGGCGGGGCTCCACCCTGACCACGCCCCCAGCCCCCTCTGTGGGATTCTAGGCGGGGCTCCACCCTGACCACGCCCCCAGCCCCTCACTGGGGGATTCTGGGCGGGGCTCCACCCCGACCACGCCCCCAGCCCCCTCACTGGGGGATTCTGGGCGGGGATCCACCCCGACCACGCCCCCAGCCCCTCATGTCAGTTCTGTAGGTGTAGATTCTGCATCTCCTGAAGGCCGGAGGTAGAGGATGAGAGGTGTCAGGTGACCCATGGGGTAGGGGAGTGTGGGTCGATCTGGGGTTTGATTCTGAGTTCCCCGAGTGGTTGTGGATTTGGTTTCGGCCACCGCGCTCATGTCGGGGTCACAGGACAGCCTGCGGGACTCGTAGGTCCAGGGATGGGACTCAGGCCGCCAGGCTTGGCAACGAGCGCTGCTAACCGCTGGGCCATGTGGCCAGCCGCTCTGTTTTGATATCTGTACCCCAGACTGTTTTGATATCTGTACCCCAGACTGTTTTGATATCTGTACCCCAGACTGTTTTGATATCTGTACCCCAGACTGTTTTGATATCTGTACCCCGGACTGTTTTGATATCTGTACCCCGGACCGGCCTCCAGCTGGTGCTCCTCCCGCCTCCGCGCCCCTGCTGGGCTCCCAGGCATGCTGTCCCCACAGCGGCCCGCGCAACGCCCACCCCTTCGGCCTCGCCCTCTGTCCGAGGGTTCGTGTCCACACTGCTGCCTAGCACGGGGTGTTGGTGGCCGCGGGCCCGCTGGGTCCCTGCTGCTCAGGGTCAGCCCGGTGGAGGGGGCGCAGGGCCCACAGCGTCTGAATGCTCACCCACCAGGCTAGAGACCCGGGTCCCCGCTTCCTGACGGGCCCCGCTGGAGAGCTGCGCGGATCTGAGCGCGTCAGGCTGTGGGGTGGCGCTGGGGGCTCCCCGGGGTGGGGTTGGGGGCTCCCCAGCAGCCCACAGCGCCTGGGTCGGTCCTGGGCACCCGCCTCTCACGGCCAGGCTGGCTCAGGCCTCCTCCTCCTCCGTGCAGCCGACTGAGCAGAGAGTGACGACCTCTGAGCAGGTGGGTCCTGGTTCGGGTGGCTGAAAGCCCCACTCTAAGCAGGGCCCCCTTCCGGAAGTGCGCCCGGGCCGGGGTGAGGCCTCTTTTGGGCTGTCTGGGATGGACCTGCCATGTGAGAGAGGAGACGTTTCTTTCCCCTGGTCCTCTTTAGTGTCCCCACATCCTTGACACCCCCCGCCCCCATCCAGGATGACCTGGAACTTCCGATCCTCCTGCCTCCGCGTCCCCAGCGAAGACAGAAGTGGCTGCCACGCCTGGTCTGTGTGGTGATGGCACTGGGTCCCAGGCCTGTGCACAGGCGAGCGCATCCTCAAGCTACAGCCGCAGCCCCTTTAGACTTGGACTCCGCCCGCCCGCCCCCGCCCCTTGGGGCTCCTTGAGGGTCGGGTGGTTCCAGGAGGTGGAGGGGAGCGGGGAGCGCCGTGCGCGGTGGAAGGTGTGTGACCCCGTGGAAGTCCCTTCCCGCCCCTGGGCCATTATCAAAACGCAGAATGGGGACTAAGCCAAGGCGTGGCGGGAGGTGGGGAGAGCCGGACAAGGCGGGCAGGGCAGGGGCCGCTGACCCTCAGTACCACGGGATCGGGCCCACTTTCCGAAGCTCCTGGAAGCTGCCAGGAGGGGGCGCGTCACGGGCGTCCTGCCGATCTGGGGTCAAGCTGTGACCGGCCTGTCGCTGCCCCTCCGCAGGGTCTCCGGGCAAGGTCTCCCAGAGCGGGCCCTCCTGGCGCAAGACGCGGGGCCTCTCCGCGAAGACCTGGAAGCCGAGGGCCGTGGTGAGCACAGGCACGTGCAGCAGGCCGGGTCCCCGCGCTGGAGGCCGGAGCCCCCGGCTGCAGCCCCCCGGCCTGCGCCGGCCCAGGCCAGGAAGCTGGAAGGGCGGGATCTGGGCCGGGGTCAGGGGGCGGCCGGTTGGCATGGTGAGCGGCGGCGGCGGCGGTGGGCGGGGGGCAGGAGGCCCGGATCCCGTGTCACCGTGGCTGGTGGCCTGGTTCCCGCTGTCCCCGCCCCCTCCGCCTCTTCATCTCTCTAAAGCTCTGTCGTCCTCTGCCCATGGCTGCCTTTCTCCCCTCCGACTCCTAGTGAAATATTAAATTTTCAATGTAATATTAAGGGAAACATTAAATATTAAATTTCACCTTTTTAAAATATTAAAACACTCGGAGCTGGATCCAGATCCCTGATTGTGTAGACCACTTTCTCCTGTCCCAAGGTGGCCAGGGACTCTTCTGATATGTCCAGGCTTTTGATTTTGTGGCAGGATATTGTTTGTCTACAAAACTCGAAGTCACACACCCGCAAAATCTCATTTACAATAAAAATTAGGTGGTGGTGGCGCACACCTTTGATCCCAGCACTCGGGAGACAGAGGCAGGAGGATCTCTGTGAGTTCCAGAACAGCCTGGGCTACACAGAAAGACCTTGTCTCCAAAAAACAAAACACACACACACACACACACACACACACACACAGAGAGAGAGAGAGAGAGAGAGAGAGAGAGAGAGAGAGAGAGAGAGAGAGAGAGAGAGAGAG